ATTACTATTAAAAAACTAAAAGATAAAGTAATACTTTTGTGATAGTATAATTAATTCAAATAAATGAATAATAATATGGTTAAATTAAGAAAAAAAATTTGTCTATTTTAAAATATAAAAACAAAAACTTATTTAGGATAAACTGAAAGTCAAAATACCACAATTATATTTTGGAACAGAAGGAGTATGAATTTTAGTACTACAAGTTTTGTTTATGCATATATCATTTTCTTTATATATTGGAGGGTTATAGCGGTTTGACATCACAGAAGTTTAAACTTCTGATATTAATTTTAAATCAAGGTTTTTAAGTTAGTGGGTACTAACTTGACCAAATTTTTGTTGATTTATGCATATATCATGGTGAAAATCTAAATTTAAAGTATATATAGCAATAAAGTTAAAAAATGAGGTAAAAATATTTATTCACCTTAAAACATAGAAAACCAAAATTAATTTAAATAAATTTTGAGTAAAAAAATTTCATATTTCGGCTTGAAGAGTGCATTTTCCATGCCCTTCCCGCGTAAACAAATTAAGAAAATCGAAAAAATACTGGACAAACCTATATTTAGTGGGGTCTTAATTACCATGCCAAACAATTTCTTAATCAAACCAAACACATACAATGCGTAAAATCACTGTAAATGACACATAAAAACACAAGAATCATTTTCAAGGAAATAAATTAATTTTTGTTGTTGAAGAAAGACCAGCAATCAACATACAAAAGGGCCAGATGAACGAAAGTGGAAATTTACCTTCTGTTGAAACACAATTGGTTAAGGTTTTGGCAAAGGTAATTTGGGTGCATAGGTGAAGATTTTTGCTTTGTAATGGGGTGGTAGGCGTACCTATGTCTGAGAACAATGATATATTTATAGTAAATAACCTAACCCTGGGTTTGAAATCTAACCTTGGAGTTTAGACCTAACCCAAGGGTTTTGGTGCTTTTCCAACTCTAGAACACGTGCATTGACTGACTTAGAAATTTTTTTTTATTAAGTTGGTGTAATATATGTTTTAAAAATATAAGTTAAATGTATAATAAATATATTTTTTATAATTAATTTATATAAAAATTATAAAAATTAATATTTATTTTAATATGGAGTCATTCAACAAATTTAAAATTAATTTTTTGAACAGCTACAATTTTAACGTAAGAGATAAAAAATTTTAGCATGGCAGCTCGAACCTTGACTAGTGCTAAGGTGTTGGGTGCAGCCTACTAACTGCCCATGAACTCGGTAAATTTAAAATTAATTAAACAGTCTGAATGGATATTTTGAAAATATTTTATTAGGGGTGGACACGGTTGGTTCGGTGGTAGAACCGACCAACAATAGCAATTAACCGATTTTTTATTGAGAAAAAGTACAAACCATTCACCAAACCGGTTTAATTTTGGTTGAATTGGTTCAGTGACCGATCTATTTTGAATTTTCAATTTCACTTTTGGATTTGACCGAAATACACAGAGGAATAGAGGACAGCGATGGGAGATGAAAATCGTGATGGTAGTGTTGCGCCACTCCATCAAGAATGAGTTCATTAGGTGAGATCTGTACTTTTTGTAAGCTATAAGTACCGAGTTCTTCTTAGATCATTTAAGGAAAAAAAAAGGAAAGAAACATGGAGAAGAGAAGAGAGAGAGAGAGGACGGAGAGAAGCCAAAAAGCTGTGTGAGTAAAATGAGGAAGAAAGGAACAATTTTATTCAATGACTGAAATAAAAAATCAGAATAAGTTATAAATATAAAGGTTTTTATTTTTCTAAGTTGCATCCTT